CTCGGGGAAGCCGCGTCCCCGCCCCCGAGGGCGGCCGGCGGCCGGGGGGCGAGTCCGGGTCCGAGGATTTCTCGGGCCGGGGGGAGGAGCGGAGACTGGAGGGGACGCAGGGGGCTGGGGCTGTCCTGAGAAGGGACGGCGGGGACTCCCTCCAGGAAGGGCGGTCGCGGGGAGGAGTCCGGATCCTGGTCCCGAGGCTTTAGGGGGCAGGAGGGACAGACCTGGGGACTTCGTAGTTGGATGGCGGAGGCAGGAGGTGTGCGGGCTGGTCTGCACACGGGAGAGGGCAGTTGGGTATGGGGGGCGGTAAATAAGCGAATTGGCCAAACAAAACTAGGGAAATGATTTTGGGGTGGGGTGCGGCCCAGAGGGTATTGCGAGAGGTGGGGAGGGGCAGAGGGCCCCTCAGCTGTGTTTGGGTGTTCCCTGAAGACGCATAAGAAGGTTCACAGAGGAGAAGGGCGCTTGGAAAACCGCTGTTAAGCCTCCAGTGATTGTGGGCGCACGTGCCTGGCTGTGGGAGGGGGCTGGGAGCAGGGCGGGTGAGGGCATCTTAGAGGCGCACCCTCCTGGCGGATGGGCCCTGGGTGAGAGTGAGGGCGAGCTGGGTGTCAGAGAGAGGGAAATTGTGTTGGAGATGGTGGTGTGTAATTTCAGCGGGTGCGTCTGCAGGTGTGTGTGTGCCGTGTGTGTCTGTGCGCGCGTGACGCACACACACGCATGTTGAGAACTGCGTACGAGGGGGGCGTTCAGTGCTGACAGTCAGGCCTTCCCACCTGAGTGCTGGGTGTCTGAGTTTCCCTGGCAGGTGTCTGCAGATGTGGCTGTGTCTTGATGCCCTGGTTCCCCCAGTGTTCATCTGAAAATGCGTGTTTCTCACAGTTGTGTGTGTGTGTGAGCCCGCGTGTTCCCACTGCTTGAAGCACGATTATATCTGAGGGTCTGGGATTGGGTCTTACGCTCTAGAGGAAGAGATACTGGCTCTAAGTAACCACAGTGTGTTCTCCGTGTGTGGGTGTCTTTAATCATATTTACTCCTCATGTTTGGTAATTTATTTTCCTCATTTTTGTGGAAGGGAAAGCTTACAGCATAACAGGTTACATAATCCCTGAATCAGGGGTTGTCAGGTAAAATCCAGGATATGGACTTAAATATGAATTTCAGATAAATAAGTAATTATCTCTCAGTGTAAGTATGTCCCACATATTTGGGGGACTTGCCTATATTTAAACATAATTTAGTAAATAAGTAAAAACATATATTTTTCATTTAGACATGGCCCATGCACTGTTTGGGACCTACTTATACTAAGAAATGATTTGTGTATTTCAAACTCAAATCTCAGTTTACTGTGTGTTTATTGTAATGTTGTTGTTGTTAAATCTGGTGTACTTGACCCTTGAGGTCTCTCAGCGAGTGACTGGCAGGCTGGAATCCCCTCTGTTAATGCCCCGAGACACGCAGGCTGAGGTCCTGCCCAGGATGAGGCTGGGGTGGAGACGGGCCCAAGACCCCACAGCTGAGACTGCAGCTAAAAACTATCAGTGCTGAGCTGGCCCCTCCCAGGGGCTGTGGAGAGGGGTCCATGGACCGGCCCCCTCGTCTTCACAGCAGCCCTGAGAAGCAGCCAGTGGGCATCCTGCTCCAGCATGGGGCCCCGCGGTCAGGGAGGTGAGGTCCAGGACTGGGCCACCTGGTCAGCTGCCTTGTAGCCGAAGGACAGCACTGAGGTACGGCAATGAGAATGCTGGGCATGGGCTGCACTTATTGAGCACCCTCTGTGTGCCAGACACCAGGGGCACTTTTGAAACCCAGTTGACTGAGCTGCGCCTGCAGGGTCCCAGCACTCCATGCCATACTTTGTTCTTTTCCTAAAGGGACGTCAGCCCCAGACCCATGATCCCGCCCTCGTCCTTGCCGGGCACCGGGCACTGTGCCTAACGCTCTCCCCTAATCACACTATGGGCCCTGGAAGCAACTCCTGGAGGGAGGCATTTCCAGCACTTCCCCTTGGCTGCTGGGGACCTGAAGACGTGGGGAGGGGACCCAGCTGCCCCATTCCGCCCAGATCCCGAGAGCCGTGCTGGGAGTCACACCCGGGCCACGTGGCTCCACATCCAGGCGCTAACTGCTCTGGTCTCCTGCCCGTAGGGAGGACCCGTGGTGTCAGGATGCTGCCTCTCAGCGCCGTCGAGGGCAAGGACACCGAGGAGGTGAAGACCACACCACCGGAGAAAGGAGGTGAGAGACACATGGGGTGAAAACTGTGCATGTGGTCGGGGGACAGTGTTCCTGGCACAGCTGACGGGGGAGGGCTGACCCCCTACTATGTCCCACTGAGCCCTCTGTCTTCTCTGAGGAAACGGGACAGTTCTGGGTAGGCGTCCCCTGCCTGACACAGGCAGCTGCGTGTCAGTGTCCCTTCCTCCTGGGCGGGGCCGCCCTGTGTGCACGGACTCCAGAGCCCTGCTGTCTCACCCCAGCCCCTCCACTCACTGCCGTTCCCTGTCTGTGCTCTGTGGGTCTTCTGAATGCAATGAATGCATGTCTGTGGGCAGTGCTGTGCAACCTCCAGCAAGTATCCTAACCTCTCTGTGCCTTGGTTTCCTCATCTATAACATTGAATGAAGATAGTAGCCATCTCAGAGGGTCCTTATGAACAATCAAGTAAGCTACTACGTGTAAAATACTTAAACGAGTGCCTGGCACAGAGCAAGGACTCCAGACGTGTTAGCTCTTGTCAGTGGTTTCACATTGAAGGTTTTATTATTATTGAGTTTCTCAACCCTCAGAGGGCAAGGTGGCTTCGTGACTCTTTTCCCCTCCCTCAGCCCTGCTTTCTGAGAACACTGAGGATCCGCCAAGCAAGCCCTCCAGGATGAAGGGAAGAATGTCATTTAAAATCATGCCGATCTGTCCCCTGGTAAGCCTGCTGGGTTCCTCCCTTTGGCAGAGGGCCCTGGGTTCTGACTGGCCAGCACATGCACCACCTTCTCCCCTTGTTCCCAGATCCCACAGGATGTGGTCCCATCTCCTGGAGGATGGTTTTTCCAGGTGATACTGCTGTCTTTCCTGCCTCCTTCTCCTTCTTAATTCCAAACTCTGTTACATTGTCACCTCCTCCAGGAAGCTTCCCCTGAATACTTCATACCCATTCCTTTCTAACGCTTTGCCTGGCTGTTTTTTATTCAGTGTAATTATTGCTACCTGAGAGCATGCATTATATCTATTTGTTTATCATCTGTCTTCCCTACTAGACTAGTTCTCTCAGGGCAGGAACCCTCTATGTCTTGTTCAACAACACACCCGCCCTGTGTAAGGCATGGTAGACACTGTATACACACGAGCTGAATAGATGGGGGAAGGAATTAGGGATGGTCCCGCTGAGGCAGGCAGCTGTGGTGTGTCCAACTGTTCCCATTCTTCCTTTTCTGCTAACACACCTGATTTTTCTCGGGGGACCACCTGTCTTCCCTGCACTTTGGATGGATCTGAGCTCATCCTCAAACCAGCTCTGGGTACACTGTTGACCAGTCAGAGCAGGCAATGCCCAGGATCCCCAGAACTGGCTCAGGGCTGGGCATGGGACTCAACCCTGGCCAATGAGAATTGATCCTTCGATCTCTGTTCCACCTCTGGGATTCTTAACCAGCAGGAGCAGAGCCTGGAGGGGCCCTGATGCCAAACAGGGGGACCAGGGAAGAGGTCAGGTGAGGCAGAATCAGGATGCCGGCAAAAACATCTTTCCTATTAGCAACTTCAACAGTCCCAGGGAGCACACTTTAAATATCTTATACTAGGAAATAACGTAGGAGTTACAGATGTTGCAGAACAGTATAAAGATCATCCATATTGAAAGATTAACATTTTTTCTAGTGCATGTTTCCTTTAACACACACACACACACACACACACACACACACTCCTCAGTCTGTATCACCTTCGAATAAGAATATTCTCTTACATGAATGTTGTAACTGTTGTAACCTTGGTGCATTTAACTTTGATACACACTCTCATCTCCTCTACTGTCCATATTACAGTCTTGTTAAATTGTTACATACTGTGTTTTTTGTGTTCTTTGTCCTCCACACAAGATCCCATCTAGGGCCAGGTATTGTACCTGTCTTTCTCAGGACAACACGTTCAGATGCACGAGGTCTGTCTGCCATCACTGCTGATGCTATATTTTGATCCACTAGGTTGGGATGCTTGTCCCATTGCTCCACGGGACACTTTCTGATTTTGGCTTTCTTCCTGCAACTAACTGACAATAACTCTGGTGGGAGACACTTGTAGATGGAACAAATCACTTGGAAACAGAGAACATACTGATTGGTCCATTTCGGGTCCTGTGCCCCCTGAACCAATCATCAGCTGAGGGGATGGAGAAATCTCTCAGCCTGGGTGGGTCCCATGTCCTGGGAGTGTGCGGGGTAGAAGGTCCCTCCCTTTCCCCAACCACAAGAACAATGGTACAGGATGAAGCAGTGATTCTCCACCAGAGGCAATTTGTCCCCCATGGGACACCTT